TTATTTCTATATATGACTAGTGCATTAGCTAAGTTGTTTTTTGTGGGGTCTCTTTTGTGCTCATAAATGCGTTTTTTCAGACTTCTACTTGTTTCTCCAATATAGTGGGATGAACAGTTTTGGCAATTTATTTTATAAATGCCTGCTTCAGAAATATTATTGCTATTATTGTTTGAAGATCTTAGTATATCTATAATGGTTTTTGGAAGTGTTTGTGACTATTTCAAGATTATTTAGACGGGATAGGTTATTCTGGATAGTGGACGTGACAGAATTGGTCGGTAGTATTATGTATCTGTTTTCATGTGATTTATTATTGCGGATTATGTTTTTAGTTTTGTTTCGTTTGTATATTTTGTATGCCTTTCTTCTTGCATTGTGGATGAAATGATATGGGTATTGTAGGTTTTTGAATGTGTTTTCTATGTATGTTTCTTCTTTAAATAAATATTGAGGACTACAGATTCTTAATGCTCTTAGATAGAAACCTATAATATTTCCAGATTTAATTTTTGAAGGGTGGTTTGAGTAGAAACTGATGAGATCATTTTTGTTTGTAGCCTTTCTGTAAACATCAAAATTGAGTTCGTTATTATTTCTATGTAACATTATATCTAGGAACGGAAAAGTGTAGTTGGTTTCAGTTTCAAAAGTGAAGTTTATTGTCGGTCGGTTTTGGAGAGAAGATCCGTTAAATTGGTGTTTTTTGGAATTATTAATAATGAGTCGTCTATGTATCTGAAATATGAAGAGTATGTAGGGAGAATATATTTGAATTATCGCTAGATAGACATTTAAAGAGAGAAAAAGAGAGAGAGAGAAAGAGAGAGGGAAAGACTGTTTAAATATTTATCTAAATGTTTTTCTGTAATTTTGGGTGTAAATATATGACATGGCTTTTTGCCAAAGGTCGAAGATGGCAAGATCAGCAAACACCACTTCGTTTCCTCTGACGACATCGCTTTCTGCAATCATCCCTGCCGCTTAAATATATCGTACGGTCCTCGAGAAAGCCCGCTGAGAGATTTGGCGAGGTTGTACCTTTCCTCGGCATGTTGCCTCTCTTTGTGTATTTGAGCCAAATGCTGTGACGTTGATATCAAATTGTTTTGCGAGTACTTTATAATCTTTTCTGCCCAAATATTTTTGATCAGCCTTCTCCCTCGGGTCAGATGAAGATTCTTTTACTGTGTTTCTATAGTTTTATGGAAGAAACTTGTCATTTTTCATTATTTTTCGTGCAATCATTGGCCTTGTGATTGAAGGAGGCTTGTAAGATGTTTACAAATAATATCGCAACGTAGTTTGTAGGATTTTCTTACAAACAGTCACTATCAGCATTAGTATTCTGTTTGTTTGCATGGACAAACGTTGTTTTCTACCACGGATCAGAGTGCAAGATCTTCCTGATCTCCGGCTTTTATGGGCTGGAATATTTACGCTTTCTGACCAAGAAATCTACAAACAAAAGTTCTATGCTAACAGTTTCTTTCTCGTACTTCTTGCTTGTAGAACTACCTTCCGGCTCCATGCTTTATTTTTTAATCAGACATGTTCTTCCAAATATGTCGGATTAAAAAATAAAGTCTATTAAATAAAATCTATTAAAGAGACTAAAGGATTTCATAATAATAATTATTTTAACTTGTCTGGTTTATTTACTCTGTAACATGACTTCCAGAGTGATACACTCTTATGAAAACTTTCTTTCATTTCTTTGTATTGGCTAATTCGAACGTAAGACGGTATTGAATAAACCCAGGCACCAAGATCATAATAATCATAAGTGCAGACATTGTGAGAGAATATTTAAAGCAGCCCAAAGGAATATAACACAAGTGCAGAATGGATCCAACGTGAAAAAGAACGAATGCTGGATAAACCTCTACAAGAATGGAAAAATATAAACACGAATAATGTTAGGCAATTTCTAACGAAATCCCAGAAATGGAAATCCACAGGAAATGACAAGATGCCCAATTTCTGCCTCTATCATATGTTATCAATCCATAAGACCCTTGCACAAACTCTATTAATGC